GTGTTGAAAGTGGCCTCTTTTAAACCTTCAGGGGCAAATAGGTAAAGTGTGATTTAAAAAAAAAATTTAAGAAACCTTGGACTAGAAATGTTTTTCTTCTGAATTTGTTCTCCTTTTACATCACAAAGCTATGGCATGGTCAAATGACATAACACATGAAGTTGCTCCAGACACACCACAAAAAAACAAAAACAAAATTGAATTGATTTTTGCTGTTAAGATTGCCATTTCTATATGGGATTTGAATCCAATGTTGGTTAAGTTTGGAAATATAGTTTTAAAACATTAATATTTTCTGTGTTTGTTTTTTAATAAACTTTCCATTTTGGAATAATTTTTTAAAATCTACAGCAAAATTTTAAAGATACTATAGAGAGTTTCCTATACCCACCACCTAGTTTCCTCTAATTGTTAGCATCTTACAGCACCATGGTTCTTTTGTCAAGACTAAGAAACCAACTCTAATAATTACTATTTTCTAAGTTCCACACTTTATTCAGATTTCACCAGTCATACTAATGTCTTTTCTCTATTCCAGGATCTCATCCAGGATATGTTACATTTAGTTGTCACATCTCCTTAGTTTTGGTAACAGTTTCTTAGTCTTCCTTGTTCTGCATGACCTGTTTAGAGGAGTATATTCTGGCACACCGGTCGAGTATTTTGTAAAATGACCCTCAATTTGGGTTTTTCTGCTATTATTCTCCACAACTTTTTATTGAATTTCATCTAAGCAGAATTTTACCCAAATGCCTTCTGTAAGTTGCCCTGGTTTTACTATAGAACAGTACATTACAAATAGGTTCCAGTAAGAATCACAGAGAATGATATGGATATTGGTAATTAAATTACCCCATACTTTTCATGTAATTCCTTGCTGTGGGAAGGCTAAGTACCTTACAGATGCTCTTTCCCCAGATTGCAATACATCACGATTAATTTAGTAGCAACTGCTAGGGTTTGTTCTCTAATCTTTAACAGAAGAACCACATGGAACCAGCAGAGAAGTGTACCAAATTTAATGCATTTAGGATGTACGGTGTTAGAATGAATCCACATTGTAGATATTAATACATCAATATATTATTCAACTATATAATGATTTTATTTTTCAAAAATAGCATTTATATTTTAGTAAATGTTCAATGCAAAAAAGTTGATAAATCTAGTTAAATTTAGTATAAATTTAAAAGTTTCTTAAATTACTTAAAGCATAGTATAAGTAAAATTAATTTATCTTGAAACTGAATTATTTAAATGATAATACAGTTAAAATAAAAATAATTAAAGGAGTGGGTGGGACCTAACTGTCACCTCTTTCTCTCTCTCTCTCTCCCTCTCATACATACATCACACATTCACACATACACTCATGGTTACTTAGTGGAAGCTTGATAAACATGAAAATTATGCACAGAGACAGCAAAAGAGAATGATTACTATATTATTAGAAAATCTAGAACTTAATTTCAAAAATACTCAAAACTTATTCAATTAAATGACCATTAGTCTGGGCACAGCTCAATTATAAGGAATAAAGTAGATTTCTTTCCTGAATAAAGACTTAAAGAGAAATGCATGTGACAGAATCAAAGAAGATCAAGAAAAATTCATGCATTAGTACTGCTCCGAATCATTTCTGCGTATTTTAGGAAACTCTCATCTTCTCTCTACACTCTAACTTCGAGGACAACCCTCCAGAATCAGGGTAGTGGTGAGGTCTGAAAATAAAGGTTGCTCTTGCACAGATCATCACACGAGCTGATTCATCTTTCACAGGAGGCAGCTTGGTTAATAACAAACTTGAACAACACCCTTGAAATGCAGGCCACCAGTAGAGAAATTAAGGCAAAGCTCAGTAGCCTTGCCAATGTGTTCCAGTCAGTCCTTCAGAGGCCAGTGACTGCTGTACAAACCCGAGGCAACGGCCCTGAGAGAGCATTTTGCATGCCAGGATCACCTACATTTTTATAATTCATGCATGTCAAACTTTAATTAATTTTAGTTCTTTCCAATTGTGCACTTACTACATCTTAACAAAGTATTTCATATCAAAGTACCATTATCTTCCTGTTATTAGGGCAATCCTAAATGAACATATTCCTGTCAATTTTTATGCTAGGAGACACAATAAGTACTTCTCAAGAGACTCTTGCATTTGGGGGGCCAGAATTAAATCTGATATTTTAAGGAACATTTTACACAAAATGTAACAGAAAACAATGCAGAACTGATATGTCATGCCCTGCTCTGTGTTCTAACAGTACTTTGAATAGACCTCACAGAAGTTTTCTCCTTGTTTTGGGTTAGTTTAAAACTTATGAGATTGTAGATATTCATCATTTTGATCTACTAAAATGGTAAATTTCCTGTGGTTTAACTTCTTAGTTGCATGTGCACTTGATGTGTTCACCAATTGTAAGCAACTTGAAGGTACAAGACCGTACATTATTTCTTTCTATCTCAAGAACATAGCAGGCAAGACTGACAATTAGTGAACACAATAAACAGTTGTTACATTTAAATGAATGGATAAGGAAGTAAACTCTCAGAATTCAATACATGTAAAATCCATCCGTAAAGAAAAGGATGTCCCTTTACTGCCCTGGCATGTATGTCCCAGGAAAGGATGAATACCCCCTTCAAAAGGAAGCTGAGAGGTTTTGTTTGTTTTTTATTTGTCTGTATTTTTAAGTTACGTTTACACAATGGCAGATATTTAGATGACTCACACATATTTTACTCTTCATGTGTAAGTTTTCATAGGTAGATACAGGTTAAAACGGAAACATATTGACAGCTATAGAATCTCTAGTCTTTTTACACAAATTATACACCATACAAATGAAAACGATTCTAGTTCTGCCAGCTGTGATGGCCTAATAGATGCAGGAATCCCTGCATCTAAATATTTATAATGTGTGGAACGTTATATTAATTTCAAAAGGATGAATAAATCAAACATCCTTTTCATTAGAACAAAGAAAATAAGATATAGGCCCCTCTGAGAAAAATGCAGAGATTGTGATTTCAGAAACTGGAAATTGCTCAAATTATTTTTCCATTTGTAAAAAATATCCTTATTGTTACATGCTTTTAAAAATGGTATTATTTGTTGCCTGTTCATCTGCATGGCTTTCTGTCTAAACAAAACCTGCCTTTCCATAGCTGGTAACATGGCTTCTCAGGGGGTGGAGACACCAACTTGGGGCTCAGGGCAGTGCCAGCCAAGAGAATGCCCAACCCAAGTGCCCGGTAAGGGAATTCCGGCCCTGTAGCACTAACATGGGAACTTTCTATTTTGGGGCATTGGGACACATTCCAGGAACAATAAAAGCTACCATTTCTGGGGCTCCTAATGTGTATATCCCACATGTAATGCCTTGCAACAACCCTGCAAAATAAATATTGTCATATTTATTAGTACATGCTGGCCTAGCATTGGACTAGAGAGTGTGCTGTGGTTTCATTAAGCTTAGTGTGGGGGAGACATGAAATAAACAAATAATTTCCCAAATCGCTATTGTCCAGCAGTGACCAAGTACCCGGCTAATGGAATAGCAGCCGAGGGTGGCTGCTCTTCGGATAGAGTGGTCAAGGATGGCCTATCTGAGGAGATGCCATCTGAACAAAACCCTGGAGGAAGTGAGATATGCTGATACTGGAGAGAACGATGAAACAGCAAGGATGATGCCCTCAGGTGGTACCTTGGAAATGCCCTGATATGGCACCAGAGTGGAAGGATTTAATTAGAATGTTTTCTGTTAACTTACTTGCAATCAGATTATGTCCAACAAAATCACCTGAAGTCTCCCAGGTTACACTCTGGGGACTTCTTCCATATGCATGTTCACCTCCCAAGAAGGGCAGGCACTTCCTGCGGGCAGAGGAAAACATGAGGAAGTGAAGCCTGAAACTCCTGCCCATGCCTGACAGGTTGCCGGTTCAGCCACTGTAGACAAGTGTGACTCAGCTTCCCATGGCGTCATTGCCCTGGATGGGGCTCTCGGTCTCACACTGAGCTCTGCAGCGGCCTCTGGAAATCCAAGAAAACCACGGAAGGGCTGACCTGGATCAGACAAAAAGCCTTCCACCTATCAAGCAGTGAAGGAGAGCTCTGCCTTGAACCTGGGTTTTCATCCATTTGTACACGATTCACATGCCTATGGAGCCTGAGGCGGTGGGTCAGCTTCACAACTTTGGAACCCACCTATGCTTTTTTTGCTCAAATGAGGACCCACACTTTTGGGGGATGATATGAAGACCAATGAAATAAATCAATTCTCAGTCCGGTCAATTCTCACACCTGTTTCAGTCCAGTCCCCACAGGCCAGGCAGAGGGACCCCACCGGTGCACGAATTCATGCACCAGGCCTCTAGTAAAGAAACGAATGTGTCC